GAAAAAGGGATAATTCAGCCTAGCTGTAGTCCTTTTGCCTTTCCAGTAGTCTTAGTGGGAAAGAAGGATGGAACTTGGAGACTATGTGTGGATTATAGGGAACTAAACAAGCAGACTATTAAAGACAAGTTCCCTATCCCTTTAGTAGAGGAGCTCATGGATGAACTAGCTGGTGCTACGGTGTTCAGTAAAATTGATCTAAGGTCAGGGTATCACCAAATCAGAATGGCAAGTGAGGATGTTTTTAAAACTGCATTCAAAACACACGCTGGACACTAAGAATTCTTGGTAATGCCATTTGGCCTTACCAATGCCCCAGCTACATTTCAAAGTCTCATGAATCAGGTGTTCAGACCACTATTGAGGAAGTTCGTGTTGGTCTTCTTTGATGATATATTGGTATACAGCAGCTCTATGGATTCACACATTGAACACCTGAAACAAGTGTTGGAAATCATGAGAAGCAACACATTGGTAGCCAAAAGATCCAAATGTGAATTTGGAGCTGAAAAAGTGGAATATTTGGGTCACTTTATTTCAGGAGAAGGGCTGGCCACTGACCCTAGGAAGGTAAAGGCAATAAAGGAGTGGCCTAGACCTACTAACATTAAGGAATTAAGGGGCTTTCTTGGGCTGGCAGGATATTATAGAAAGTTTGTGAGAAACTATGCACTCATATCAAAGCCCTTAACACAACTACTAAAGAATGGAAACTTTCGGTGGAATGAGGAAGCATCTGAAGCCTTGGAACAATTGAAGACAGCCCTTTCTACTGCCCCAGTTTTGGCTCTCCCTGATTTTTCTAAAACCTTTGTAGTAGAAACAGATGCATCTGCTTTTGCTATTGGGGCTGTACTTATGCAGGACAAACACCCTCTGGCGTTTCTGAGTAAGACATTGGGACCTAAGTGGCAACAGCTATCTGTATATGAAAAGGAACTTTTAGCTGTGGTCCATGCTGTACAAAAATGGGAGCAATACCTGAGTGGTAACCCCTTTGTGATCGTCACAGATCAAAAAAGCTTGAAGTGGCTTTTGGAGCAGAAGATTTCAACTCCTTTCCAGCAGTTTTGGTTATCCAAACTCATGGGGTTTCAATATGAGATACATTATAGGAGTGGCACTGAGAATGTGGTTGCGGATGCCTTATCAAGAGTCAAGGGGTCAGAGTTGTTAACCTTGGCTATATCTGGAGTACAATCCGATGTATTAACAACCATTAAAGAGAGCTATCAGTTGGACCCTAACTTGATTGAGATAATAAACAAATTGCAAAAGGGAGAGGCAGCGAATAAATATAATCTGCAAGAAGACTTACTAAGAAGGAAAGGAAAGCTGGTCATAGGACCAAACACCAATTTAAAAGGCCAAATACTGAATTGGGTGCACAATTCAGCTACTGGAGGACATTCAGGTAGGGATGCCACATTGAAGAAGGTTAAAGGGGTGTTTTGGTGGAAGGGTTTGAATAGAGACGTACAACATCATATCAGGCAGTGTGTGGTTTGTCAAAGTTGCAAATATGATAATGGGTCATACCCTGGCCTAATGCAATCTTTGCAAGTACCTTCTGATGTTTGGAGGGATATTTCTATGGACTTCATAGAAGGCCTTCCAAAATCTGGCAATAAAGAAGTCATTTTTGTTGTTGTTGACAGGCTGAGTAAATATGCTCATTTCATGGCTCTCAGTCACCCATTTTCAGCTGCAGAGGTAGCCCAAGTATATTTGGATCATGTATTCAAGCTGCATGGGTGGCCACAAACCATTGTGAGTGATAGAGACAAGATATTTCTAAGTGACTTCTGGAAAGCTTTGATGACTGTCCACGGAACTGAGTTGCTTCTGTCCACTTCATACCATCCTCAAACTGATGGACAAACCGAGGTGGTTAATAGGTGCCTGGAGACCTACTTAAGGTGTATGTGCAGTGAGCACCCAAAGGAATGGAGCTGTTGGTTACCTTTGGCTGAGTGGTGGTACAATACTTCTTTTCACTCATCTATCCAGATGACACCCTATGAGGTAGTGTATAACCAACCACCTCCCATCCACCTCCCATATCTTCCTGGCGAAACAAAGGTAGAAGCTGTGGATAGGTCTTTACAGAGGAGGGAAGCTATGATACAGTTGCTGAAGTTTCACCTGTTAAGAGCTCAAAACAGGATGAAGGTACAGGCTGACAAGCACAGGTCTGAAAGACAATTTCAAGTGGGAGATTGGGTATGGCTCAAACTGCAGCCATACAGACAAACCACAGTGCAAGCAAGGACTAACCAAAAATTAGCTCCCAAGTTCTATGGTCCATTTCAGATATTGAACAAAGTGGGGCCAGTGGCGTACAGACTGCAACTTCCTCCATCAGCCCAAGTACACCACACTTACCATGTGTCCCAACTCAAAGCCTTCAAGGGAGCACTGCCAAAACAACCGCATATACCAGGATGG